ATGAGTGAGTTGGCTCACTTCACAAAAAAGAGCGAGTGAGCCGGTTCACCTCAATGAGCTGCTTTTAGCCAAGTATAATATTAATACAATCTTTATTATCACTATCTTAGCTCGTGCGAGCATTCGTTAGGAACAATTGCAAAGGTCAACTCAGCCGTTGAATGACCGAGCCTACTGACTGAGCCTCGCTCGTAATCACGGTTAACTTCGTAACTTCAAAGTGAAGAGCCGAGCAAATACGGAGTTGATTGGACCTACTAGACGGATTTTTCAATGTTGAAAAAGTTTGTCCTACATGTCTAGTCTATATGTTCTCTGGTACCATAATAGATAAAAAGTTTCTTGTTGTTCCCGAACCAGTTTAAAATATTTGTATTTCATCACTTTAAAAGCTCGCATTAGAATGTTGATGCTAATCAGTGAAAACGTTTTTTTTTTTAGTAAATTATGGACGTTGACCAGCACTAATAATAAAATTGTAAATAATAAAGGAAATTTCATATACTAAAATTAAGAGTCATTCAACAAGAAAAGCAATTGAAATTGATCTGCATACTGCAAAAATTATCTGCAACGTTTTTCTTTTGGATATTTGATGCAAAGACAAGAAGAAAAAAGATGTCTACAGAAGAGTTGCCATCTGATTTAAATAAACTGAAAATAACACCAGACATGGAACACACAAAATTATGTGATAGAAATCCATTTTATAGCCCAAGCGTTACATATAGGACTGAGAATATATTAACACCCATGCAAAGTACTAAGCAAATAATTCATTGTAAGACACGCAGGATGCGTCGAAGTTCAGAGAGCAATATTGATGATTTCCATAAGAAGCAGTTGGATTCTTCAGTTGCTGCTTCTGCAGATAGTTTTGAAATTTGTGTGAGTCCTCTAAGATTTCTACCCGGGGTAAATAAACTTCAGTTGAAACGAAGCAATATTACGCCATCGAAAAGAAATATGCTCCGAGAGCCTGTACTACGAATCTCACACGACAATATACATACGAAATGTGGTACCCGTATTCGTCGCTCGATTCCATTAAATTTAGATGAAAGAAATCGTGCAAATTTTCATAAACCACGAATTAACATAAATATTAAGTCAAGTATAAACGGTATTTGTAGCTTTCGGGATTTAATAAGTGAATGCAATGTCTTACTCGATGAATCTAAATCTAAGAAGGAACCCATAGACAACTTTCATATGTCAAAAAATTTCATAACATGTCAGCAACGAGGGACGTCAAATTTAAAAGAAACCAATAGAAATAGCGTTATTAATGAAGATGAGCAGGCATTTAACCATCGTGATCAATGCTGCAATACCACCCTCACCAGCTTCAGTTCGAATTCCAGTTCCCGACTTTCATGTTCCCAGCAAGCGGGCAACAGTGGAGCAAGCCCGAGAAATTGTGACGATGTCACCATAGTAGAGTTGGCTAGTTATTTCGACACCATGGTGCATATTCCTAAGAAGATGTCCTCAATGGCTGAAATGATGTATATTTAAGGAATTGGCGCTGTCAACATTATATTTAATTTACTTCTAATATAAATAATTCTGTGTATTTTTACATGTATATAAACAAAATATTCGAATTAGTTCAATAGATTAAATATAATATAAATCATACACATATAAAGTAATTATACTGAGATTTTGGAAAAAAGAATTTATATGGAATATGTAACTAATAATCTCCTCTAAGCTGTGTGAAAAAATTCTTAAATTAAATTTCGTCGTGGATCAAATAAGCATTTCATTTAGAAACTACTTGCTGCTAGTTTACGAATTATGGACAGCCATCAGTAAAATAAAAAATCATGCTCAGTGACAAATATTAACCAAGGCTAATAATATCAATTCTAAAGTTTTTAACGCTTGAAGAAATTAACATAATTTGATGGATTACGAAAATTTAATTTATTATTTGACTTAGATCATTAAATCTTAAAACGGTATTGTTCTATAGTTGCTTTTGAAAAACATATGGATAGGCATAGTTTTACCATGTCAACTTCAGTTAGGATATAATATGTCATAGTGTCCTGGTCTATAAATAAGATAAACTTTTGGATCCGACCCTTCAGGAAAATCATGGGCTTTTACCTGACCACCTTCACCCCTATCCAGGTACTCAACTCGCACACCTACTCCTAACGCTGTGCACAGCGCTATGATATGTATATGATCTGATTCCTTATACATTGGCTCGACTTCTTGGTGACGAAATTCTTCAATTGAAAAGTCACCCTCAATAAAATGTTGATAGAAGTCCGCATCTTCCTGAAGTTTTCCAGACGTTATAAGGCGCAAGTAAACGACTACATAATCGGAATATCCCTGGTCGTTAAATACTGTATGTAGTTCATTTTTCACTTTTTCAGTTGTTTCGGAATTAATGGGGCATACACGTTTGATTACATCCATAAACTGACATAAAACGAAAAAACAAATATTATTTCAATCATTAATAGTCGAATAAATAATTAACTCACAGTTTCATGAAAGTCTTCCAATGTAAAACTAGGAAACCCAAGCTCCACAAGTTTGTCTTTAGAAGTTTCAGCAAGTTTTCGGAATTCTTGGTAAGCACTGTTATTTGTGATCAAATATTCCAAATACGAATAAGCAAAAGCTCTGAAGAAACAATTACCATCGGGTCGAGTGCGCCGAATAAATTTATATTTCTTAGATAGTTCTTGTATCTTATCTGTAAAGACCACATCACCTTTATATTCGGCTTGTAAACAGGTAAGCGCTAGTTGCTCACTGACCAGAGGAGTGGAGTCACTAATCTAAATACAAAATTGTTATTATTGCTAGTTTAGAAAGTTCAATAGCGGTTCTTACCTCCTTTTCTATTTCCCGCTGTTGTTGTATAATTAATTCGTCACGATTGGCGTCATTATTTCCAATGGATTCCATGATTCCTTTCTAAAGAAATATTTTCTTTAATATCACAATGGATTTCGTTGTGTAGACATCCAAAAAACCTTAATGAGTGAATGAAAACAAGCCGAAAAAATACTTACTAAATAAATACTAAGTACTGAAAAAGAATGTATTCTATTAAAAAAAGCATTCTCGTGCTAAAAAAAATAATCGATAACGTCAGAAAATTTATGGGGGATATCCACAGACGAATTTGTTACACGAAATTTTTCTACACCTCGACACTGTTAAGTTGAGGTACCACTATACTTCGTATTTGCTCGGCTCGGTCGCTGGAGGTTCGAGCAGTGAAAATGCTGCACGTCAAAAACAATGCGCTTTGAGCGCTCAATCAAAATGGTCCCGTTTCCGTATGATTTATGTGGTTTTGTGCGAGGGCATATTCAGCATTTCTATTAATAACAAGTAAGAAAGCTGTAGTCGGGACTGATCGACTACGAGATCCCCTGAACCATACAAGCATCTGATATTTCATGAATAATTAGCACACACACACACACGCATACAAACAAATACACGCACACACATACACATACAAA